AGAGCTTGCTGATCTGGATGGAGCCTTTGCAGCCCTTATGCTTCCCAGCGTCACGTCTGCCCTGCAGTCATCTAGCCTGCCTGTTAGCCAGTCAGCCACACTCTCTATCTAACTCCACTATATCCTGATTCAACGGGGGCGAAAAGCTGATTAGCTGGTCAGAGGGTCAACCTCCATTTATTATTTAATGGGTGAGAGCCTGCAAACAGTCAGGCTGGCCGCCGAGGTTAGTGATACATTACACTGACCTGGCCAGAGGAGAGCTGCTCAGGCGAACACAAACATGCTCTCTCATCTACTTCACTATGCCTGAGCCGCCCTCAATCCCCTGCCCCTGACCTTGCTGCTCCCTTTCCAATCACCCATCCTTCCTCCCTTCTCCGGCATTCAGAATGCAGCAGGTGAGAGACTGTTTCATTTTTATGTAAGTTTTCACTGTAGGAGCGGGCCTTTTGCTCTGTCTGGCCGAGGCAAGAGGAGGAGGCGGAGGTAGAAGAGACCATAGCTCTTTTATTGACATGCAGCAAACATCAGTGGTGGAACAAAGGCCACTCAGCACCTATTGAGAGAGCAGGCCTGCAGACAGGGTGGTTGATTAGCGATTCGACACAGGGACCTGGACTGTGTAGCACATAATGAGAGCTTAGGGAGCAAGCCATGAGCCGATGGGGGAAGGAGGTAGCGGGCGGGCTGCGGATAGAAAAGGGAAGAGGCAGGGCTCCACCACAAGGAATTGATTTCCTTCAAAAACAGACGGATGTATGAGTAAAAATGCGCCAAAGGAAAAAAAAAAAAGCAAAAAAAAAAAGAGGCAAGGGTAGGGGTACATCCTAAATCCTTAAGCTACAGCAGTGGTAATGTGTTTATATATAAACAGTTAGAGGATAAGCCCTAAATCCACTGCCAAGCTAAATGGTTTATGAATCTTTTTTTGTTTGTTTATTTCTATGTCAATTAACCAAATTGGTCCGACATCCCTGATGAGCAAGAGATCAAAAGTGAGTTAATTCTGCATGTCCAAAAGCGTCTTTCTCCCCGAACATTACGTTAACCTCATCTTCACCTCTCACGTTGCCGCAGAGAGATGTTAGCCGAGATGTGCATCATGGCAGTTTGTGTGTGTGTGTGTGTGTTTTCTTCTCTTCCCCTACACGCTCTCCTCTTCCTTTGTTCCACTGGTCTAATCCAGTATGTGTGGGCCGGTAAGTTTAATGGAAACAATTTATTAAGTCCGGCTTAAAATGCCATCTGCAGCTAAGCCTCCCAAAGCCGCTAAGCTCCTGGTTTCGCCCCAGAGCTTGCTGTGTTCACGCTTACTGTAATGCTCTGTTTAAAATGAGCACAACGGGTCAAAATTAATCAGGATTACAAGGGCACAAATCCACTTCAGAAATGGGTTTTCTACCAATCTTTCGCCTGCTATCCCAAGATGCCCCAGGTTTCTCTGGTGGATGGCACACAGCGTGGGTTTACAATCACTCTGTGGCAGGTAGCATCTAGCTAAGACAATAAGGCATCAGTGAAAACTAGGAAGCAATCAAAGAAGGTATATACACTATACTTACTGCTCTAAAACCCACAGATGCTACATTCAGCACAGTCGGTGCACATTCCTCAGTGTTCCTCTCAGATATTTCTAGCTGCTGACAGCTAGGTGATAACTCCCCGGCACATCCATATGCCCGGCATTCTGAAATGTCACGAGAAGGCCTACCAGTGAGGTGTTTATCTGTGCTCTGTGGAGGTGCCCTGCGAATGCTCAGCAGCTACATTTAGATTCTCATTTGCCTTCAAGCAAGCGACAACGGTAAACTATGACCCGCGATTCAATAAGAGCAGCCCTGAGTGGAGAACGAGTTCTTTTACTTAAACATGCCATCCTCCAGGAAATCAATAATTTGCAGGAGGTTTAAGACAGCAAATAAACAAAAACCAATACGTGTTAGATAATGCTTGACCTCTGCTGCACCTTCCTACATCATAACCAGCAACACAGGCAGACATTCAGTGCAACTTCTTGCTAGCTCTTGGGTAACAACACCCAAAGAGAATTGCAGTGTGTGCTCTGTTATTACAGATACTATTCACTTGTGCTATTACCAGTAGTGTCAGCTTACATCTATAACAGGCTGTCAACATGCTAGAAATGCAGAGATGATGAAAAGTAAATATGAGGGAAAGACGGCGAGGGTGTCTGGGTTTTGCACAAAACCCTGTCCTGTGTGCATAATTACAGCGCTCTGCCATCAGTGATTACAATGTTGGTCTTTCCTCTCCTCTATTAACCCTGAACCGTTTCATTAACATGACAGACTGTGGGCCTGTGTACAATTTGGAGTTAACCTCGACTGTTTGTACACGTAATCGCAAAATAAAGTTCAGAAAGGAGCACGACACTGAATAGCGAGGAAGAGGTGAAAGTAAGAGAAACACTCATTATCTAGCAATTTGTGGAAGCCAAACATCATCACAGCATTACATATTTATGTGTGCCATAATGTTTCGGTGTGTGTGTGCCTGAGTGGGGTTGCGTGCACACAGAAATCTGTCCGAGAGTCTTCCAGCCAACAGCTCGACAGGCCTGGTGATCAGTCCTATAGGATCGTGAGCGAGACGGGTAATGGGACACATACTCTCCATTCTAAACCAGAGGAAAACAGCCTGTGGGCTGCTTTGTATTGCACACACATTATACGTACACAGAGGAAAAACCAGCCTAGGTCTGAAACAAACACTGTCCTAGAATCCATTACAGCTGGACAACAACTCTGGAATGGGCGATGAGGCTGGTTGGCAGCTCTGCAATTTTAGCGTGATAACTTCTTCCTCACTGTCACCAAATCACTTCATCAAACTGCTGAATTTCTCTGTCGTCTCTCCCTTTCTAACCTCTAATTCTAATCTGGTGTCCTTCGTTTGCATCGCCCAAACAGAATCTGGTTGATCTGTGTGATAATCAGGAGCCTCTGATTGGATTGTCGGGATGTAATTCCGTGGACCTAATCCTCAGCTCTGTGTGAACATTAGCCAGATCCACAGAGGTCTTTCTACACTGGCTAAAATGGAAAATATCAAGTACGCACATGCCTGCGCAGTTCTATAGGGTAGAGTCTGCTTATATGCAGCCATGTTCTGCATAAACATAAAAGTAAGTCAACACCCTGACAGCTGACAACAGCAGTATTTCAACAGCCTGGTGGGGAATAGTTGTTGTTTGATGTGGTCTAGTTGTTTTCTAAACCATGCAAGTCTGGAAGTCATTGTCATTGTGAATGCTGGTTTCTTAAGGCCAGTGCTGGTCACAGGTCATCTACATCACACAGTCTGCAAGCCTGGTTTCTCTCCCTGCTGTCAGCCATGCTTTTCCACTCAGCAGTCAAAGCTACTGTGCTAAAGAAAGCAACACTTCGGAGCAACAGATCACTTTTGTTACATTACGTCCTTACAGCAAAAGATCTTTTAATACATTTTCAACAATATAACAGTATCAACAAATACATGTATGCATCCCTAACCGTCACATTATAATACACAAATCTTATTGTTGAGTCTGCAGACATGCCCCCTCCAAAACCCACCTTATATTTTGCACTGTTTTAAAGCTCCACCTCCCTCCCTCTCAGTCTGTGTTAATGGGACCCCTTCCTGGTTCTTGCCCTGAGGGAACACGGTCTGCATGCTGCTATCTGTCAGTAGCACCTCTTCTCTACCAGGACGGTGTTGGTGCCTAATTTACAACTGCTCCTACACATTTCCACTGTGCCCCCCGTCCAAGAAAAAAAAAAAAAACTGGTGCCGGTGCAAAAAAGTTGGCAACAGCAGAGAATTTCAGGCACCAAATTCTGAACACTGACGCGCTACTGTAACTTCCTGTTGCAAGGCAGATCTGGCTTCTCACTGTTAGCAGGACAACATTGGTGGATGTGATGTAGAGTTGGCTGATCATGCTGCTCCTCTACTGCCTGCCCCTGTGTGTTTCTCTTTGCGCTGACCTGTCGACCAGGATTGGGTGATTTGACTGGGCTGGATCTTAGCCAAACCTACACTGCACTACTGTTTTTTCTGTTTTTTGTTTCTTTTTTTGGGCCAATTTATTGGATTGCCAACTTGATAGACTTTACAATGAACTTGTAACAGTAACAACATCACAATATGATGTCTCGTTCCTTTTTGTTGTGCTGAAGTAGACTGAACATTTCTTCAGGAGTCTGTTTGGTAAATATGGTGGACGTTAAGTGCTGTACAACAACCTCGAAGCCTTTGCTAGGTACGCTAGTTGCAACTTTTTCTGCAACACTATCACATGTTACAGTATCTGCAGCCTCATCATTTAGTTACATGTTACTAAATGGGGCTGAAAGCACTCATGCATCTGATTGGTTCATCTTTCTGTTATTTCAGGTGTGTTGGGGAGCAAGCACTTAAAATAACATGTATTTACCACACGCACTGCACCATAACACGTGTTAAATATAGAGGTGCTTCTGTGCTTGCATAGTTTCTGTATCACCTGCCTAATATACACAGTATGTCACTAGGTGCATGAAACCACACAAATGCAAAAACTGCATCAAATCATGCTCATCCTGTGCAAAAGCAAAGGACTTGTAATCCATACATGTGCATATGGATGCACGCACACTGAATTTGTGCTGTCTGGGGGGCTGACAAAGCTCTTTCTGCCTTTTTCCTTTGGCATCCATTATGGTCCAGGCCTGCTGTCAGAGAGCTTGTATTGCCTGAGGGGAAGTTCCCATTTGTGGGAGCATGTGGCAGAGAGGCTCTAAATCCCCTCTAATGAACCAATATGTAGGAAGGCTAAGCCTTTGGCTAGGTCGTCCAAGAAACGCCACTCTGCGCCCTGGCAAAAATGTATGCATATGTAGTCACCAGACCTTGTTTATGTCTGCTGACATTTAAATCTGAATGGACCCAGTAGCTGATGTGAATAAATGAGGAGGAAAGACTGCGGTGAAAGAGAAAAAGCAGAGCGGGCTTACCTTTGGGTGTGGTAGGGGAAAAGAGCTTCTCTGATCCTACATCAGACACCTGTTAAAAAAAAAGGACAGCAGACCTTTAGTGGATTTGTCTCATTAGCTGGGAAGCAAACACAGATATATACTTTTGTTTTTTCAGTAAAAGGCTTATCCAGCCACAAATGTGGTCATAAGTGCTTAGAAGTAAAGTTCATCTCCCACACACAGCATTACACAGTCAATCAACAGTCTTCAATCAGCCAGTGCAGAGAACTCCCTCTGTACCAAGTGGTCCTAGTCTGTTTTTTTCCTGACGAGGAAACATTAGGTGGCACTGTTGTGCCACCTGAAATCCCTTAAAGGAAATGCTGTCAAAGACAGCAGAGACGGAGGAAGTCAGAAGATGGCTATGCAGCGTTACGAACACAAAGGCTCCAGCACCCTCTCTCTAGCCCTCAGAAATGATATTTCATTTTGTGTTATTTTTCAAGAAACGTACATATCTCACGAATAGAATATGTCTCTCATTTAATATCGACGACAGTATCAGCTCATACTGGAAGTGAAGTGATGACCAGACGTGGCTAATGCAAATGACACTGAGCAGCGGAGAGACCTGGTTGTCTATATTAAAATGGTGCTTGGGCAAACGCATGAAGAAGAAAGCCATCTGTAGTATATTAAACACAGAAGGATTATTTTGCCCTTGAATTTAGAACACCTAATAAAAGTAACATCAGCTATTTCTGCAAAAAACATGGCCGCTGACCACACAGCAAGTCAAAACAGCAGCAAAGCCACATTGTTCAAAAACACTGTCTGCGTGCTTGGAGGACGGCATTAACCATGAAAACCCTCGGCCTGTAACAGCAGCCCATATAGGGGCTTTGTTTAAAGCCACTATTTCCCTTTGCTTTAGCTGCTCTCATCTGGGATCTGCCGACTTGTAAAAAGCTGCAAAAGCTGAACATATGTTCCACCCAAAGGGCCCGAGTGTCCTTAACTGCCATGCTTGTATTTTATGCGGCACAAAGGGAGCATATGTAAAGAATGAACAGTGAATCAGAGTGAGTACAAGAGAGACAGAGACAGAAAGAGAAAGCAAATGATTTTGTAAACACAGATGGCTGTCCTTGGCATCCCTGTTAGTACTTCACAAGTGTTTTGAGGACATCCTCTTCTTTCCAAGATCTCCCAATTTCTCCTCGGCTGCCACTGTGTTACTGTTCAGAACAATGTTTGCATGTCTGCGCTTGATGCCTCAGCTCAACACTCAACAAAATGCAGGTATTGAACCTAAAGGGAAGATGCCACAAAGTGCCTCTGAACGATTGCATCTGCCAGACACATTCAAAATGATTAAACAACACAAGATTTGCTCTAAGCCACTGATGTTATGTCAGCACTATTAGGCTTGAATCGAGGACACATTAGGCATTTATTAAATTCTTCAACACCTCAGCAACAATTAGGCAGCGACAATTGCAACTGTCTCAGTTATGCTAATAATTAACTGCAGCGCTTATAGGAAGACAACTAGCGAATTTTGGGTAGTTCAATAACCTCAAGCAGACGTTGTAAGAAAAGGTCAATAACAGCTCTTCAGTCTCAGTGGGCGGGACATTCAAAGGAGGGCGAACACTCAGCTGAACTGCAATATTTCCTGTTTCCTCTTACAGTAGACAAGGTGAAAGACTATAGAGGAAAGACAGAGTGTTGTGCATTGCCCTCTTTCAGTCTCCCAGAACCAGGGCGCCAGCCTACAACACAGGCTCTTTGTTAGCTTTGGACGACATTAAACGCTTCAGTACCAAGCCTCAGCGCTGCAACAGCACAACCTCAGCCTTGAATCGCTGCCCTGGAGGCCCTGGAAGAAAAATATGGGCTCAGAATGAAATGAAGCTTGTCAAATGGACACGGGAGTTGGCTCGAGGACTCGCTTAGTGTGGCACAGGGTCACAAAACCAGAAAAGACAGGGTAGGTAATGCCATAACTCGGCGTAACAGTTGAAGCAATTGTTATGACCAGAGTGGTTCTCCAGACAGCTAGACAGACATAACACGTTCATGAGAAAGAGAACAGAAAACGCTTGTTCTTCACGTGCCAAGATCTCCTTATTCCTAATCTGGCTGTTTTCACTGTGCAGTGAGCTGTTTTATAGTGCAAATGTATTCCAAGTAACATCAACAACCAATATTTAGACTTTAATGCTGTGTTTTGCACCTGCCAAGTCTGCATGAGTCCGTTGTATAATCCACAATTACAAGGCCGGCTTGCAAAGAGCACTTCTTAAAAAGGCAAGTCAAAGCAGAGCCCTGATGTTGCTAGCTGTTGTTTTTGCAGAGCTTTCTGGGTTTCGCTGGTCACGTTGACATTTTTTCACGGGGCTGTGCTGCTGGCAGTCTGAGTTGCCTGCGGTTGTGGTGTACAGAGGTCATGTATAACAAATTCTTCACACTCTCTTTGTTGAGGCAACACTGGGTGCCATTAAAAACAGATGGAGAAAGATGAGACAGAGGGGAAATATATATGTAGAGAGAATGGGAGAGACAATGAAAAAAAGAAAGAGGAGCAGAGGCCAGGTTTTCCAAAGGAAACGGGGAAATTTAACCATTTAAAAAATAATGGGGGAAATTCAAGCCACATTGCCTGGGAGCTAAAAGCCCTTGGAGCGGGCCGCAGGAAGCCTGACCTTTGTGGGGACCGTCTGCTATTTGAGCCTCGGGCTTCAGGGGCCTGGCCTCCTCTCTGGAGGGCCGTCAGCAGGCCTCAGCTTTCCTTCCCTATTCTATTCATTAGCCATGCTTTATGATTCAGCTTCCTCTGAGCCACACAAGAGCTCCCTGAGGAAAGAGACTGCTGGAGAGCTGGAGAAAAAAGGGAGCGAGACTCAGGGAGGGAGGGGGTAAGCAAGAAGGAGGTCATAGGGCCCAGCCAGGGCCCAGCTCTCAGCAGCTGTGAAATCCTCCCGTTTCCTCGGCAGGCGTAAAAAGGAACAAGAGGGAGAAGAAAAAGAAGGAGTCCAGGGAGGGAGCTTGGCCAGTAAACCCACCATCAGAGTGCTAACTCCCTAAAGAGCCACATGGAGAACCATAATTCCCAGATTTAGGGAATGCCAAATTACAAATTACACTGCTGTTTGTTTTAAAAAGTCCCCAACTTCCCCGAACACCAGTGACTTATTGACTGCATAAATCTCCAGATAATTGCAGAGCAGCAGAAGGAGAGCAGGGCATAGCGAACCTCGCTAGGAGTAAAAGTGAGACATTTCCTGCAAAGCCAAACGCATTTGCTTTCACAGCAAAGAAGCGAGGAGGAATAATCTTTGAAAATGTTCCACGTCCACGCTCCCTTTACTTAAAAACACAGCAAGCTAATTAATTTGGAAAATCTGAAACGAGCATAATTGCACTCTTTTTGTGTTGAAACGCTTCCCTGCTTAATTTTTCGCACAATGGGCCAACTGAGCGAGGCAACGTGGGCAGTAAGGGAGGGCAGTATAATCAACTGAACGACCTTGAGGCATAAATTTATGAAAAGCATTGATCAGTTAAGGCTGTAATTTCACTGAGACAGGAAGGTCAGCAATTACCCAGATTCAATTAACCTCATTTAGTAAAGACTGCTGAGAGACCAGTTTCTCTCCCCCATCCACCAGACACCCCCCCTCGTACTTTTTATCAAACGATCCCTCGGCCTCCAGCTACCTTTGATCTTACAGCTGCTCCTTGGAGCCAGAACAAATGATGTCCAAACAGGGTGAAATCTTACAGCCAAAGGTTAGGTAAACCCAGACTAAATACAAGCAGATTCCTAATATGGGCTCCTCCTGTTCTGTTCTCATGAAGGAGGAGCAACCCTTCCCCTCCCTGCAGAGAAATAATTTTTAAACAAGCTGGCAAAGCTATCACAACAGCTGTGGTGTGAAAACAAAGAAACCTGTTAGTAGGCTTTGTGGTGGGCTCACGCCTGTAAAGACTATAATTACAATTTAGTTCTGAGTCATTTGGCACGTACTATGTTCCTGACAGACCGTCGTAGGACAAGCACAGAGGTGGCTAATCTAAGCGCGTATATATACTCCAAACAAGTTTGCAAAATGACATTTTTCCTAATTGAAAAGGTGACTGTTGTAATTTGATTGACAGCTCAATAAGAGAGAAACAATTTAATGGGCAGCACCAAAAGACGATCACCTGACACGTACAGGAATACCATGGATACCAACTGAGCGTGTGCCTGTGCTGCAGCTAGCAGGAATGTTGTCCTACATAATCATGGGTAATAGAGCGGAGGAAGCAAACACAGCACATCATATTGTCCGTGCTCCCCTGACTGGCAGGATGAGTGGGTCAAATGTCTTAGTGGAGGCAAAGACACTTGATGTTCCAGTGTAGGAGTACACAGCTGCTTTGTGCTGCACTGGTGTGACCTATCGGTAGCATGAAAGTGAACAGGAAGCCCACCTACCCCGAGAAGTGAAGTGGGCAAAAAGGACGTGTATCCTGAGATGGACGATCAGGCTCTCGATTACCCCGGCTGAACCTGTCTGACCGTGAATCCACACTTACTGCGCCCCCCTCCAACACCCACGTACACACAGTGTTAATTTGCTTCACTGCTTGGTGTTTCATCAATGTCAGATTCCTCCTTCACTGCCCTCTCTTCCAATTTTCCATTCACTGTCACCTGAAGCTGTGTCTCCTTTCAAAGTACAGGTCCATGTTTTGTCCTTGTTGTTGTTGATTTTGGAGATGGCCACCCGTGTTACTGTTTTAACACGCAATTACAGTAATTTGAAACCCTTATAAATACATATATATACAGAACACAATGTGGAACACCTACATTGAGAAGTGTATCTGTACAAAAACAACAAAAACGCACAAGCAAGACACAATAAGGGGTCCGTTTTTCTCTTCATATGGGAGTAGCATAGTGCTTCAATTAAGACTGCTATCAGCACCCACTCAGGGTCCTCAGTTACTGCCACCTTTTCACCCTAGACACCCGCTAATGCTACCTTTGCAATAAATGCCGCATTAGACATGCACAGTGGGCCTACAGCTCCC